TATTATATATTTTTGGAATCATAACTGAAAACTCTATTCATCTGTGCAAAAATCCAATACGTACCTGAGAAAAAATTGATGTTGGAGACAAGAGACAAAATTCTAATTATGCCATCTCATGGAATATTGTTATTATTAATATGCAGTTTATTTTGAAATCCCACTTAATAATGTCAGGAAATAATTAAAACGATTTTGGGAAATTTCGGTACTTTGAATTTCGAAACTTTCTAAGTGGCATTTAGCAATGGTGAGTGTCGAATGTGAAACACCTGATATTTTAACACGAAAGTAGCAGTTGAAAATTTCAAGATGGCGGCTACTACTAATCCCAGCAACAAGATATCTTCAACCTCTTTACAGTAGCCACGGAACCTTGGTATTTACCCTTTCATTACCCTTAGAGCCTCTGCGGCTACTGCGATATAAAAAATTTCAATGAATTTCAACCCTTAAAGAGAATAAAAATCTTGTACCATAAAGTGGTTCCCAGTTTCCCAAAATAAGTATGGGATGAAATATTTTATTATATCAAAATACTCAGAAATACATGCCATTTTTTTGAGTGAAACAAAATTTACGTTCTAAAAACTATGTCGGCCATATGGCGCCCTTGAGCCGAAATGCAGGAATCAAGCCTCTCCCGAAATGAGCCCATTGCGTCGGCCAGCGTCCGTGCAGGAATTTGGGTTACTTCTCTTCTTATTTCCTCCTTCAAATCGACGAGGGTCTGAGGCTTGCTGTGGTAAACTTTTGATTTCAGGTAGCCCCCCCCCAAAAAAAAAAACACGTTGACAGGTCCGGGGAGCGAGGGGGCCATGGAATATCGCCATGACGTGAAATGAGACCTCCTGGGAATGTTTTCCGAAGAAGTTCCATCGAAGTGCGAGCTGTTTGAGATGTTGGAACCACACTGTTCTGAGACGGACACGTCGACGTCGAAGTTCCGGAAAAAAAGTTGTTCAGTATGTGGATGTAACGCTCTGACTTCACAGTAGTTGTTTCTCCATCATCCTCAAAAAAATAAGGGCCAAAAGGGCAAAAATCAACGTTGGGCCTACTGCACACCAAACTGTAACTTTCGGGGCATGCAGGGGGTGCTCATGCAACTGTTGGGGGTTCACTGGAGACCAATATCGACAATTTTGTTTATTGACGTATCCATGTAAATGAAAGTGCGCTTCATCAGTCATAAACAACGTCATGTCATAGTTATTCAACTGGTCAATCATGAGTTGTGCAAAATTACCACGTTGTGCATATTCCCCTGGCAACAGTTGTTGACAGACTTGAATTTTGTAAGGATGGAACACTAAATCCTTCTTCAAGATGCGACGTACAGAGGACGCGTGGATCCCTAAGGAACTGGCACGCAAACGGGCGGAACGATTCGGGCTTTGCAGCGTGTCAACTCTCATTCTCTCTACGTTTTCGGGGATTCTAACAGTACGGTTTCGCCCTGGCGGTATTTTCTTCATCATACTGCCTGTAGTGTTGAATGCTTCCACCCATTTCTGGTACTGCCCCTCGACGTGGAACACGTAAGTGAACGCGAAACTCACGTTGCGTTCGAACGACAGTGAACACACGATGCTCAACGTTGCAAACCATCTTGCCAACTAAAACGGCGCTTCTCCCACTATCCAACCTGCCCTTCCCCACCGACACGGGATATGTTCTTTCTGACGGACCCTGTATTTAGATTGTTCCCTTTTGCCTCTGATCAAAATCCTGTACTCACCCTTTTGGTTATCTTCTAATTCAGGTTGATTTGCTTTTTGTCTCTGCGACCACAGCCAAATGCATACAACGTTGTTCATGCTTTTTAGCAATCATCAGTACGGTATGGGTCTAATCATTTAGAGACTGATGATGGAAAGCAAACAAAAGCCAAATAAGGAGGCATGCCACCTTTGTTTTATTTTTCGCATATCGTTTAATTATACAGTCTTACTTTGTGTCCGTGACAGCATCTCCATTTTGAGAATGACGCACGCTACTAAGAAAGCTACGTAGATCCTTAGGTAACTTTCTCGTTATCCCCCATTTTTCGCACAATTATGTCATTTACACTTAAAGAAGATGCATAACACGCCCTTAACGTGACATACCCTCCTCGGAAAATTGTTATGTAAGGACAGAATGCAAATTGAAAATTAGGAATTGACGCAAATTCTTTTATGAATATTTTCAAGGAAAATCATCTGCAAACTGGATGTCTTTCATTTACAGGTTTTTAAAGGTTATGGACGTAAGTTTATAAACGGAATGCGTAAACGAATTGTTTATCTTATAACATTTCTTTTGCAAGATTTTACAAGGAGAGATGAAACAGACGATATTTTGGATCTGATGCTTATAATAAAAAGTCACACCATTTAGAAGCATATTTATATCGTATTAGGGGACATGCGACATTGCTGTTGCCTGTTGCATATTAGAACAAGAAAGATTGATATTCAAATCAAGTTGGGTACTTTATTTTGAAGGTTCATTTATACCATTTATGTATGAAAAATAATATCGCTCAAATGTTCACCACGACTGGATTTACAGACGTCCACGCGATGGTCGAAATTTTCAATGACATTTTGCAACATGGTCGGTTCTATGGCATTTATCTCGGCAATGATGTTTTTGAGTTCTTGGAGGGTGGCTGGTTTGTTGACGTACACTTTGCTTTTCAAATATCCCCATAAAAAGAAGTCCAAGGGAGTCAAATCGCACGATCTTGGTGGCCATGGCACATTTCCTCTGCGCGAAATCACGCGATCACCGAAGAAGGACTGCAATCGATGGATATTGACGTTGGTTGTGTGGCATGTTGCACCGTCTTGTTGGAAATAAACATCGTCCATATCCATTCCTTCAAGTTGCGGCAAAAAATAGTCCTCTATCATCACGTGATATCGCTCAGAATTGACGGTAACGGCGTCCCCGGCCGCATTTTCGAAAAAGTAAGGTCCGATGATGCCTTTTGACCACAATGCACACCACACAGTCACTTTTTTAGGATGCATCGGCTGCTCTTGATACTCACGGGGATTTTCGTTCGCCCAGATGCGGCAGTTTTGCTTGTTTACCGTCCCATTCAAAGTGAAATGCGCTTCGTCGCTGAACAGGATTTTTGATGAAAAATTGGCATCAATTTGGCAGTATTCAAGGAGCCAATCTGAGAACGTTCGACGCGATAAATGGTCGGCCCGACGCAGCTCTTGCGTCAATTGGATCTTGTAGGCGTGTACATTCAAATCCTTGTGGAGCAAACTGGTTCTCGAAATGCCCAATTCTTGGGATCGACGCGTTGTTGATTGTTTCGGATCGTCTCTCACACTCTCCTTCACAACAGCAATATTTTCCGGTGTGCGAACGCTCCTTGGCCGGCCAGAGCCTGGCAGATTTGCCACAGAACCTGCTGCCTCGAATTTACGTACCAGACGACCGATGGTTGTTTCGTTTGGGCGGTTGTTGCGACCGAAATGTTCACGAAGCGCGCGAAACGTGTTTTTTATTTTTGCACCATTTTTGTAGTGCTCTTGAATAACTTTAATGCGGTCTTCAATCGAATACGACTCCATAGCGATCAATGGTAAACATTCAACTAACAAAATGACATGTCGGTGACAGAAAACAAAGATGGCGTCTATGTCAAATTGACGTTTACTTTCCTGCGTCCCTATTGGACAACCCTACAACTTTTCTTCTAGAAGGTCATATAACAAAGTTAGAGTGGTCTATTTATATCCTGACACCCGCGATTACAATAATTCCTCGCCACTGGCGTAGGAAGTAAGAAACTAATGTGCTTTGGAGTCGAGTGTCCCCCCCATTTTTTTTATAAAATTTTTATCTGTAGCCACCCAAACATTTGTGCTGAAAATTGATAAGACGCGAAAGGGTATCAAATCATAATCACTAAAAGGTTCAGACCGATAAATGTAAATAAAATATTCCATGTGAAATTTGAAACGGAAATGTAAACGGATGACATAATTTGAGACCAATAAACAAAATAATGTTCTTATCTAACGAAATCGTGACCGAGCATGGGTTATATGAACTGGACACGCATTAAATAACTCCAGGGTGACCTTATACTCGTAATATGGAAATATTATTGTTTATATCGTTCGAGTTTTATCATCGATATGCAGTTTAGGGGACAGTCCATATGGATATCCGTGACTGAAGGTTCACAACGATCACATAGCAACAGCATTCAGTGAACTTTGCGCAGGACCCATCCTGCAGATTGAGCGTGGTGCGACAAGAAGATATGTACAGGGTGCGCCATCTTTTATGTCGGTGTGCAAACGTGAAATAACTTTGAAAACGAAAAACTGATTTCTATATATCGGGTATTTTTATTAAATATGGTCCTTTACAATTTACTCGGACTAGTTTTTGAAAACCACATCTATCAAGTGGTCACCTTTATTGGCCAAAACAAAATGTTGCCCATTTTGCTGCGTTTTCCATTACTTTTTCGTGGTATAGCGGCGATTGCGGTACGAACGTTAGCCTTGAGTTCTTCAGTGGTCTGGGGCTTGCTGGCGTACACCTGATTTTCCAAATAACCAAGAACAAGTCCGGTGGAGTCAAATCTGGAGACCTGGGTGGCCAGTCAATGTCACCTCTTTTTGACATCAGACGTCCAGGGAACTTCCGTTGCAGAAACTGGATTGTTTCATTTGCAGTGTGGCATGGCGCACCGTCTTGTTGAAAGCAGTAACCATCAAGACCTTTTTCACGCATTTGTGGGCAGACATAATGAGCCAACATCCACCGATATCGATTTCCAGCGACTGTTTCGTTTTTGAAGACAAATGGGCCAATGATGATTTTGGCGCAAACGTCGGCCCAAACAGTCACTGCAACGGCATTTCGTAGATTTCATGTGGATTTTTCGTCCCCCAAATGCGGCAGTTTTGCTTATTAACGCCGCCCGAGAGCGTGAAATGGGCCTCGTCGGTCATCACAATTTGCTTCCAAAAATCAGGTTAAGCATCAAGCATGTGAGCGACTGATTGGGCGTATTGCAAGCGACGCGGTTGGTCAGTTGGCAATATTTTTTGTGTTAACTGAACCTTATAACGAAACAAATGCAAATCAGCCTTCAAAATGCGCCGCAACGTGGTTCCACTGATGCCAAAATGCTGAGCACGGTGACAATACGACACTTTTGGATTCTGAGCAACGCTGTCTCTGACCGCTTCAATCAATTCCCGTACTCAAAAAAATTCGAAACCAAACGACGGATAGTGTTGTCAGACGGTGCCTGTTTGCCACGATATTTTCGACGATATGCAGGTTGCCTTAACACAACTGAACGACGATTTTCAATGAACCTTGTGGCTATTTCGGCGCGTTGTTTCGGTATAAAGCGATTCATTACTAAAATTGTAGTAACTTGACGTTTCAGAAACACGTATAACCAAATCACTCGGTTTTAAATATCAAAGTCATTCGATGTTGCAATACCGACATAAAAGATGGCGGACCCGGTACTTCATCTAAGACAGACTTTATGAATGGGCTTTTCCGGGGATTGTTTCCACTTTTCAACCTTGAACACTATGTGATGACCACGAGAATTGGAGACACCACTATCGGTGATATAATATCACAGTCATTTTATTTTCAATTCGATTTAAAAGCTAGTCGAAGGACGAATTTCACCAACAACAGTCTCTCCACCTATAGGGTAACAGACCGTCAGATACAGCGAATGAGATTCAAGTTCCAATCAACAAATTTTATCAACCAATAGCTATGAAATGTTGAAAACAAAATAATGTCAAAGTATGAGATGACAACTCATTGAAACATTACCAGCTTATTGAATATTAAGAAATTACATATAATTCAGTCAAAATTTTAAGAAATGTTTGATTTTTGAATTAAATTCATGTTTTAATTACTATTGTTGATTTTTCATTCATGTTTATATTATTTTCTTCAATTGATATGTGATACTGGGTGTGTATTTGATGACAGGCTCTACAAAAAGATATTGCTCGTTTCCAAACATTCATTCATTTACTTGCCATTCATCAGAACCATTATGGCACCTTAGATTGATATTCCCACAAAACCATTCAGGTTTTTTGATATCCATACATCCATAAAGTTGAATATTTTTCGTTGTTCAGGAACTGAACAAACATCCACACTATATTCACAGCGATTAAGAAATTCCCAAATATATGCCTTACCAGCAAACCTATAAAACCTGCAAAAAAAACTACAAATTTGCCATATTGTTATTTTTTCACGAGTACACATTCTAGGTTATATTTATATTAGACATTATTTGAATACAGCTGATTATTGCACTTCAAGGAGTGACACGTGTGTGGGATCTGTCAACTCTTGGTACCAGTCACAAAACATATATACTCTGAAGGTTTAATTCCATGATATTCAATCACAACACGGTGACTTGTGTGGTTGTCAGCGGCCATTTTGTGAGGGTGCGACAGGGTTGCCAGATTGTGCATTAATATCCCGTTTCACCCTCCTGGTCCCAGTGGAGTAAGTTCTGCCAACTGTTGAAATATACTCTACTATGCTTTATAAGACTATTCGTGACATTTTTCCCAAAATCATTGCACAACACATGAAACAATGCAAATGAAAATTTAAAATTATTCCCATGACGCCTAAAAATAGCTCCGTCGGTACCTTGGGTTATACATCTTGACAGTAGGGATGTTCGATAGGATCCTATATTTAGAGGTATCAATACATTTCACGAGTATCGTCATCTTTCGATCCGGACTGTGTCAGAAAGAGTGACTGCGATTTGGTTGCGACATTACCCTGCCAAATCAGACATATATTCCATCATTTTCAAAGAAATTGTACAAAATCTACAAATTTGTGAAGTTAGCGATTTTCACTTCATACGTTCTTACCAGACATGCCCAAATCATCAGTTGCTGCCGTGATATTCATCCCGACCAATGCCTCCCCACGGCTAGGCGACCTGTATGTTAAATTTGTATTGATAGGGCAGCGGGTTATGCTATAAATCATATGTCACAGTGTTTGTGCACTGATTGATGATACCAAAAATATTTTCATAAATAGGAGATCTTTCCCATTCCGGATCGAACAATCTACCAAAGATACTTATAATCATGATACTTAGTAAATTTTCACGAAAAAAATTCAAAACCAGCAAATGTAAAAGATTCATTTCGCACCCTTCACCACGGGACGTGATCGTCGTTAGACTTGGCAACCCTGCGAGTGTCAGATAGATATCCCCGCCAGTCAAAAAAGATAAATAGACAAACAATAAACATTAGTAGTTTTTTTGATTTTTGGACTTATAAGCCATTATCTGTGAAACATTTTTCATAATTTTTTGTCTATGTCCATAGTAATTGCATTATGCATCAGGGAGATGTAGGGATTGACACGTCTTACACATATTATCTGTGTTTTAGGATGGAGAGGACATAATGTTTTTATTGCTTTGAAGAAATTCATTAACCCATAAATTAATAAATGATTACTATTATGGCGTAAAATAAGATGAGGAATTGGATGGAATGTATTTTATATTCTATTTTCTTGCAAAATACAGTCAAATCCACACTATTTAACAGGTATGTAATGGTAACTTTCAGTATATTGAAGTTGGTAAATTCGAGAGTGCCATGCATTAACAAACGTCCAAATCTGCTGCCAAATTTAACAGCTAGAAAATCGACCTATTATTTACCGCATTCCCATTCGCTGAGGGGGATAACGGATTGTTAAATGTAAGCCTATAACATATATCAAAATACATAAAAGTTGTCCTGTTTTTTCTGTACAAAAGCATCGTGTTGGAATCAAGTGGTCTTGTTTATAATACAGTCGAATTTTCACGATTTCATTCAATATTTCCATAGAAATCACTGATATTCAGAGACCTTTGACAGTTTCCGTCAAATTGCATTTCGATAAGGTCTTTTCCTATTGGTCCAACTGACCGTCAAATATTAATGTTGGTGAAATTGGCCCGAAATGTTTTATTTTACCAGTTGTAAAACAAAAAACAATGATCTATTCATGGTCATCAAAAGTGGTCGATACGACCATTTTGATCATAGAGCATCTAGATTGTAGCACAATCTGCCTCATGAGGTTTTTTCCAGTTCTATTAATACTAAGCACCTCAAAAACGGATTAGCAAAACATTTGCAATCTCTTATATGTTATATATATATATATATATATATATATATATATATATATATATATATATATATATATATGTTTGCCATTATTCCAGGATTGCAGACATATTTTATTACAGTTGACTGGAATGTAATGTGTAATTTAGTTCTAGGATAATATTACATCTTTTAAGATTCTCTGATTCAATAAATTAATATCCTTAAATTTAATTCCATAGGTAAACTGATGTGAGATAATGTTCCACTATGTAAACAGAAGATATGAATTGGCATTGTATATTTGTTTAGGTCTCTAATTATTTATTTAACCTGTCTACACTATTGTGTATATCTATATTTTTTCTAGAGTATGAGACTTCCTTCAAACCAGTAAATTCTTGAATTTTAAATCGACACCCCAGTCCTGTAACTATTCTTATATTATAGTATCGTCACCATCGACAGCGTCTCCTGTCATTATTTGAATAGCCCTTTATTTTTTGAAAAATAGTATCTTTTCAGGATGACTAAAAATTGCAACACCGTATAGATGTGTATTACGTATACTACAAACAATACAATATTTACCACACATCAAGCTTGCTTATCAGTATTGGGAAGGGAAATCAATTATACATTCGCATGGCAATTTCATTATGGATTCAAATACACAATATACCTGAACATAATGCTAACTTGGAAAATTTGCATAAATGACGCCAATGACTAATGCTGCTATTTTTTGTCGTATCGTGCATTGTCTGTAAGAGCCTTGTAGACAGTCAGGAAGTATTATGTACTGTTATGAATGGATAATATTTGTGCATTAGACTGAGACAAAGTATTGAATATTGGAAGCTGTTCATTATTATATTCAGGTATAAAATTAATGCTTAATACGTATTGGATTAACTTGGTGACTGCTACGAATTGCAAAAAAATTCTGACGTTAAAAACAAATTGTCTAACCACACAGGGATACCGTTGTCTTTTGTGCAATGTCAATCTACCTGCTCACAACTAAGTAAGAAAAGCATTAAAATTAGTAAGATTAGATGATTGGCTCCACCAGCACCGCAGCATCATAGAAGAATAACATAAACATAAATGCGTCAAAAAAATCCAATCGCTGAAAAAACTATTAATCAAGCCTCCAAAATTCTAAGAAGGTTGAGTCATCTCGAGTTGCAAAAAGTACCTTAAGGAGCTCGAAAAAGAGCCTCCACCTGCTGTGGGTTGAGCAGACTCGCTAGCGTGGAGCTCAAATGATAACACAAAAACATAAACGGCGCTCAATAAAAGTAGAATAAAATGAAACAGGTACTTTTTTGGTCCAGGAAGGTCCAGTTCCATGAGGAGAATTTCGCCTTGAGTGATCCCAGGGCAAGAATAATCCCACGTGTCGTTAGATTCAATTTTTATAAACCGGTTTAGGGTATCTATCTACTTATAAGGCGCCTAGGCGGCTCCCGTAAGGTGCGCTACATGGTGACACTCGTGGCAATAATGTGAAGTACGAGTTTTGGCAAATACTTTTGATGATGATGAAGAAAGCCACGATAATAAAGAACAGGACAAATAAAAATAGCCTCAAGAAGATTGACTCTATGCTTCACAAGCCTTCGAAACGGCTTATAGTACAATTTTCCATCTAGTGCAATTTGGTCTACTCACAGCGGTATCAGAGAGACGTAGGTTTTGTCAGAACCATTAATGCCCTAAAGTGACATGGTATGCCGTGATGTACATGTCATGTAACATCCAGTTGACGTGGGAAGTAAAAATATAATCGTTAATAGGCTAAGCAGTTCATCTAGCAGAGAGACATGATGGAAGAGAGCATCATTAAAAATAACGACTTCTATTCAGTTTGTGACCCATTAAAGAGTTTCAATTAACATTTGAGAAGTGACGCTGGATTCTGTATACGGTTATAATTCCATGCAACATGATGCGTATCCAGACCCCAGGCTGTATTGAAGTAAAACACTAGCATTTAGGAGTGGTACCTGGCCACAGGAGGAAATACAGAACGATTAGCAAAATGGCGTCGAGTAAGTTGACTGTATTTCCCACAAAACGCTATCATCACTTCGTAGAGAATTATGTTTGGCACAAATTAGCGCTTCTGAGAGAGACAAAAGTTAGATACGAACATGTATAAGAAGAAATTAAATCTCGTTCCTCTTCCCACTAAGAGAAATGTCTACGGGCTCACATAATCGTTTTTACGATTAATCCTGCGTGGATGACGATATTGACTTTTACAGCATGCAGCACACAGCAGCACGGAAGCGACTGCCGACTGCGACGCATGAGGTACCAGAGGTACGACCATCAGCCAGACCACGTCGCACGTATCGACACGCCACTGTTAAATATAATTGTTTTAAGGGTAAATATACGGACATACCTATGATGAGTAAAATATGTCTATAAGGTGCGTAGAATTATTGGGATTGGAGGCGTATAAATATACCAACGTCAAAAAATTGAGATATACCCTCCCCTACCCCCTGGAATCCCTAACCCCAATTTTTAACCCCTACAAGAATGTTTCCGAAAATGATCACCACGCCAGTAAACGGAGTTTAGAAGAATCAGAGAGATAAGAAATAATTATATTCACTGTATACTGTCGAATCGCGAGTCATATACATGCTAACAGTAATTACACACAACGCGGGCGCGGTGGTGATTTCACGTAATTCTCCTCTTTGAAAACACAAAAACGTAAAAAATCGTAATTTATAACTTTGAACATAACCTCTCTCCAGAAAACACAACATATAAATAACCCGTCGGGCACAGCTAATAGATATATTTCATTATTGATTTCCTCACACAGCAAGTATCACTGATTTTGTACACATGTAGACCAATACAGATAATCATTCAGATGCGATCTTGCTATTCAACCAACTTGTTTCTCAAAGATGAAAACTACAGTCTACTCTGATTCACAAAACATATGCAACCAACAATGTGTGTAGTTGAGTCATTCCTCCATAGATGGACGCTCATAATGATCCTAGTGAGCAAACTTGGAATGACTGTTTGCACCCTAAAAACTACCTAGTCTGCAAGATGACATTTTATAGGTTTTTTTTTTGATGCTTTATAGGTGTTTTACATAATACCCGCGCCGGGTTGCCCGCGGAGGGAATTACTTCTCGCATCCTCTGTCAGGGGAAATGTAGGAGCGTTTTTGATATTGATACAATGGCCATCGGCAGACGTGGTATCCTAGGTCGGTGTGACCGTCTAGCTTCCAATCCAGGAAATCGCTGGAGTCTGCAAGTATCTAATGGCAATATGTGTATGGAGACTGCTACTTTAAAGTTATCATGTTGCTCGGTTATCTCTGGGGAACTTATCGTAGCAACCAATAAACTTGGCATATCTATCTAAGCACCAGATTAATAAGATGATGAGAATGACATATGAAGATTTTGAATTTTGGCTAGATAGTACTGAAGTGTACATTAGCAAAAAAAAATACTGGCTGGAGAAAGGCTGTACCCGCTAAAGAAAGATTGGCAGTACCGTTGCGGTTTTCAGCTACAGGAGAAAGTTATTTCAGTCTTGGAGAACTGTTTAAAATTTCACCACTTCTTTCCTCACTGATTCCCGAAGTCTGTGAAGCACTTATATCAAAATTTCAAATCAAGGTAAATATATATTTTTAATGACTCACTCTTGATAGTCACAGGGAAGCTCACTCACAGAGAATCCTAGAGGGGAAGCTAGAGAACACCATAACCTAATGTATATTTTTTTAATTATTTATTTTATTTTTATTTATGATATGGCCTGAATGTATGTGATATTGCTAGAATTGAATAAAATTTGAGTATAGCACTACATTAAGGCCTTCAAGCACTTACGCTAAACGTATATGTTATTATATAGGTTACGTATATGTCAGTATATATTTGTATATGTTTATTTTTTTAAATTTATTTTAAAATAGTTTTTATGTCCTTTTTTTCTTCTAAATGCCGAGCACAGAAGAACAATGGCTTTCGGTGTCCTGAGTATCAGAATTGTCGGTGTAATTAGAATGGCTAGTGGCAGGACGTACACTTTCAGGTGTCGAAGTGGTAAAATATCCTTGAGCTGCCTCCACCCTGGAAGGTCTTGAGTAAACGCCCATTTCAGCCTGGTAAATTATATTTTGAATATGATATTGTACTGTAGATATTGTCATAGGATCCATTTTTCGTATTTTACTTGCTATGTATTCTCCGAATATCGAGGCATCATCGCGAGCAGATGACGAAGCTGACATATTTTTTAAAACTTGCAGAGCTTCGGCAATATCACTGTCTCCATCAGTACCGCATCTCCTTTTCCGGGAACTAGTCGCTGTTGCATTGTTTTGCTGACTTTTTTGCGAATCCATCTATAAATAGAAGGAAATAATATGATTTTTTTTATCATGGGAGGTATTTAATGTTTATACTAATATTATATTGGTAAGCAGTTTCAATAGTTCCTTTAGATCTCTTGAAGGAACAACTGATACAAAAAAGTAACATTAGTTCCTTCAAAGGAACCAACAAAGGAACTACTGAAAACAAAGGATCGGAACTACTGAACCAATTTATATTGATTTACAACTAAAATAAACAAGAAATATAGGAAACATGAATACTTACATCATTTTCACTATTTACTGTGGGTAGTGGTTTATTTTTGTCTCGCAAAAAGTTCAGTGCTTTGTAAGCAAACCACTTTGGTTCCTGTACATCGTCTATGCCTGCACCAGATTTTTGCAACTGTTCGAACTTCTTTTTTTCCCGAAAATAATGAGAGGTTAAATTTTTTAACTTTCTCTCTACTTCGCCTTTATCAATGTCAAATACACTTGCAATTATGTTCAATGCGTCCATTCGTTTGTTCCTATTCTTATAGTCTGCATTTCCGGGATTCCATAATATATCATTTTCATGAAATTGTTCAATTAAGAGCAGCACAGCTTCGTCGTCCCAATTAAACGACATTTTAATTTGTTTAAACACACAAACCGCACAACACTACCGCTCGAATGCCAGGAACGAACTGACGCCGGCAAGCCGCGTAACCCAGCGGCAAGCCCGGCGGCTTTGTATGCCACCGGGTGTACGGCGGCCCTGCCGCCGGCATTGTGTGTAGCAGCCTTAAAGGTGCGTATACATATGCGAGCAGAGCGGTTCGCGAGCGGCTTGTGAGCCGCTCGATGGTGGTTCGTTGAAATGATTTTTTCCGCGAACCTCCAGCGATCCACAGATTCAGCGCACCAAACGCAAACAAACATCGCAGTCGACAAATGCAGTATGGCTTCGCAAAACGAAAATTATACTATTTTAGTGATGAGTGCTGCAGTTTTAGTAATGGCTGATGTAAATATAAAAAAGAGAAGACAACGACGTTGGTGGCGTACTAATTTATTTAAGAAACGCAGTGGTACGGAAATTTTAATGGACCTAAAGTCGCAAGAAATAAGCGGACAGTATAAGAATTTCACTCGAATGACACCTACTGACTTTGAGAATCTGCTGCAAAGGATTGGACCCCATATTTCAAAACAGGAGACTTATTTTCGTACTCCAATCTCTGCCCAAGATAGGTAAGTCGGTGTACCGTGGACAGGTAGCTTTGTTTTTTAACAATTTTTTTAAATTAATATTCTAGGTTAGCCGTAACACTTCGGTTTCTTGCCACGGGAGATTCATATACTAGCCTTCAGTATCTATTCAGAATTTCCAAGCAGTCGATTGGGCGTGTAGTACCCCAAGTTTGTGCTGCACTAATTAAGGAATTGCAGGGATATATCAAGGTAACAACATTAATATATAAATTAAAGGCCTGTGTGTAATTCAAAAATATATTTTTCTTCACTTTAAAGTAATTTCCACCACTAAGTTAACAAACAAAAAATAGAACTCAAAAACGTTACACAAAATCTTCATAATTTTCTGATGTGAGTGACGAAACAGGTGATTGTAGCGATGATGGGTTGGACAATGATGGTTAAGATGTTGCAGGAACGGTTATTACTTGCAGAGGTTGTGAATAATAAGTTTCAGAAGATTGAGAATATAGATTATGTGAAGTAGGTTGGGAATATATCGAAGAAGTAGGTTGTGAATTGATATGATTGGTAGCTTGTGACTGTATGTAGGAAGTAGGTTGAGAATCATTGTAAGATTGAATTGAAGTCGGATTAAGAAATCCTCTATCAGCTTTAATAATAAGGTCAAAAACGGCATGTTGAATTGTCTGTTGTATTGGAGGGGGGTATTTTTGAACCTTTGCAGCAACAAAATTAAAAAATAAATCTATTTCACTGGGTTGAGTTGGCTCTTTGTCCATTTTTTCGCAGCATTCTTCAAAATCTGAAATGCATCACTCATTATTGGAGAGAAAACATTATCTTGTTTTCTTTTTGATCGCTTTGTAGATTTGGAGGTAGATGGTAGCGTAGGTGTCTCTGGTATCGCGTCTTGTTCCATTTGTTCGGAAGATACGGCAGCTTCGTTAACATCATCCAGCTCCTATTAAATACATTTTCAGTAACTTTATATGTAGTTTATAAATAATGAAATTTTGAAATGAAATTGTGTTAACATAGTATTAGCGATTCCTTTTTTTATTATTTGAGAAGGGTGGTTTTATCTTATTCCAAAATACACCAAAGAAGTTGCGCAAAAAATGATATTAAATAAATAAATTATTAAGATAAGCTAATAATGAATAAAACAGGTCAAAATTAATAATTGTTATTTCATTTCAGCTACCTAAGACTCCCACAGCTTGGAAACAAGTTAGCAAGATATTTGAAACACGTTGGAACCTTCCTCATTGTGTTGGTGCCCTAGATGGAAAACACGTTGTTTTACAAGCACCAGTGAAATCGGGTACCGAATTCTTCAATTATAAATCCAATTTTAGTATTGTGCTTTTCGCACTGGTTGATGGTGATTATAACTTTATGTTTGCTGACGTAAGCTGCCAAGGAAGAATTTCTGATGGGGGGGTTTTTAAGGCAAGCAAATTATATCAGCAGCTTACAGAAAACAGACTAGGACTTCCAACACCAGAAGAACTAGAAGGATGTTCTATGCAAATACCGTATTTTTTTGCCGGCGATAGCGCATTTGCTTTAAGCGAAAATCTCATGAAGCCCTATACTGGGGACTTTCCAAAAGGAACTCCTCAACGAATTTTCAATTATCGTTTGAGTAGGGGTCGTGGCATAGTTGAAAACGCATTCGGTATATCAAGTGCAGTGTTCAGGGTGTTAAGAAAACCAATGCTCTTAGAGCCTGCAAAAGCAGAGTGGGTTATAATGACAGTCATTCTTTTGCATAATTATCTCAGAAAACACTCACCAAATATGTATACCCCTTTTAGCACATTAGACTATGAAGTTAATGGAAATTTAACTGAGGGATCATGGAGAAATGAAGGAGATATTACGTCTATGGTACCTATACGAAATATTCCTCGAAGACCCACAAAATATTGTACAAAAGTTAGAGATGAAATCGCTAATTATTTTATAAATAATGGAGCTCTAGAATGGCAGGACCAATATGCTTGAATTTATAACAATAATTACTTACCGTAGCAAGTCTTTTTCGTGGCAAATCTCTGTCTTCTAAAAACCTAAACGCTTCATAGGCAAACCATCTGCTGTAATAAACTTCATCTCTTCCTGAAAATTAAAATCGAGATTAAAATTATATACGGCAAGTGAGCTTAATTAAAAACATATTATTTAGTTGAATTAAAAATTAAATTAATATTAGCAAAAATATTTTGTATTATTATTTAAATAAAACACAACTAATTTATCTTATTATTTCATTTATTTACCTTTTCCTGTACCAGTCCCCTGCTTTGTTTTATTTTTCTCCCGGCGGAAAGAAGCTAAGAGGCTTATTATTTTCTCTTTGCACTGTTCAGCAGTGGTTTCCATTTCATCCGCAATTTCCCGCCAAGTGTCCTCTGTAAAATTTTTTTTGAAGTGATTTTTATTTTTAGGATCCCATAATAACGTTTTGATTTTATAAACGTTCATCAGACATAATATTTTTTCTTCCGACCATGAATCCATAACTTTATAGAAGAAAAATAAAGTTCGCTCGCGAGCTAAAGAAAAACAACGAACCTTGTCTAAACACGTCCCAATATGCACTGCGAATTCCTTTGTGTTCGTCGAAAAAACCGACTGGCCGCGGCTCGTCGCGAGCGGCTCACGAGCTGCTCACAAGCAGTTCGTTTGGAACCATAAACCCCGTCCCAATTAGCCGAACAAGTTGCTCACAAGCGGCACGCGAACCGCTCGGCTCGCATATGTATACGCACCTTAAGAAGTCACTGTTCCCCCCGAGTGTGGGCCCGGGCGTGAGTTCCATGCCGTAGGAAGCTACCGTCCCCCCGTGCAAGGTATTTCCATATGAGGCCTGACTTCCTTGCTGTAGGAAGCTACTGTTTCCCCGTGCAACGTATTTCCGTATCAGGCGTGACTTCCATGAGGTAGGAAGCTACCATTTCCCTTCCATGCGGTAGGATGCTACCAATCCCGCATGCAATGTGTAAGTTGACTCATTAATTTTCAGATAATGATTGTAGAAGGAAGATAAACCAAAATATGTGTGTAAAAATTTAAAAAAAATGTTACCTTGTTTTATAAAGCATCCTCCCGACAAGTATTTCAGTACGGACCTGTATTTGATCGTGCGGTCTTGGAGCACCGGCATGCCCTCTCCTGTGAGGTCTTAAGTCACCTGATTCACGAGCCCTTTGTACTACATTAACAAAGGCACGAAGGGTTGGTTGCACTCGATTGGGAAACCGATCCGCATAAATCCGTGATGCTGCGGCAGCATTTTGTAAAGACTCCGCCCACAAGTTCAGCATTTTCGTAAACATGTGCCATTTTTTATTTCATTTGAGCCACGCAACAAACACCACTATTCACTCACGCGTTACCGACTGACACATTGACTGAATAAAATTGTAGTAAAAACATCGTGATAAGCGTTTCAAATTCTTTCGCTTTTTTGTTTCCGATGCGATGAACCGATAAGGCGGATTATATCCGTTGTTGCCAAACACGAGCACATAATATTATTATAGAGACAGGGCGGTACTCAAACTTCTAAAGGGCTATAACTTTGTTACTTTAATTTTACCACAAAAATGTTAAAGGAAAAAACATTTCTTTTGATCAGATCTACTCACTGTTAAAATAAATGACTCAACTTCGAAGTCACCCTGTATAATTGAGAAATATTATGGTCATTAATGTATTGTTTTATATACTATAATAGACGGTAAGGTTCTGCATGTTATGAGTCGGTAGAATATGGAAGGTACTCAAAAGGTTTTCCCAAAAATAGGCTTGACCCCGACAACTCAGTTCTATCGACATTATCTCTCGCCAAGGAAGGACAACTCCCCTGTCGCTACGTCACCAAGCAAGTGGCTTTGAAAATTGTTATTTGGTTTGTTTTTGGGTAGTTACGCCGTCGTAAAATATATTTACTTGACGTTTCGCCAACACGTTTTCGCCTAACTACCCAAAAGCAACCAAATAACATTGGATGATAGCCGCGAAAGCCTTTCGCATTTCACTGTTTATGTAAGTATTACCCTCGTAATAAAAGTGAAAAGGTACAGGGTAGTACTTCAAACGCTTGTAAGGTAGGATTGCTGTTTTCTCATGTTTATCATCATTATCATCGACTTATCCTATACTATGGTTTTTTAAATCTTTCTGTATAGTTAGTTCAATTAAATAATGATAATATATGACAGGTTAATGTAGAAATCGACCCAAAATCAATTGATATAATTATATTTGTTTTATTCCGTCACCTATAAACACGCAACGACCAACGTTTTTGTTTAAACCGTTGAGTTGTCAATTTTACCAGCCTTGTTTTAAATCGTCTTTAATCTGACAACACAGCAGCAGTACACAAGCAGGCAGTCGATCCATTACCTGAACCTGAAATTCATGTTTCGTGCATCTATAAATACTTGAGTGTTGTGTACCGTAGGTCGTATAACGACGTATTACGCAGATACTACCACTGAACAAACATTTCGAAACTAACAGCGTTCACGTTACTTTCCATATCAACATCAGTGTATGTTGTATAATCAAGAGTGCTTTGGCCCTTTACAGGTTTCGTAACATGGCGTAATGGTTTTAGATCAGTGGACCAAAATGTTGCAAGATCAGGTATAGCTGTGCTAGGTATTCCATAAGCAGAAAAGTTATCAGATTAATTCAATTACGTACCTTTATTGAGTGAATAAGAAAGCCCGTCAAAAGAAACTGGATAAAAGGAATTCTTATTTCCATTCCGAAATGTGATGTCAGATCCAGTTGATGTCCTTCTCATAAAAACCTTTTCCCCCCTACGCCAATGAGTATTGTAATCGTTAAGAAATTTGAAAATGAAATTTTGTTTTTGGGTTGTTACATGACATGTACTTCACTTTCGTCGGTGTCTGTTTGTCAGTTTGTCCGGTAATACTTGGCCCGTCTATTACTTGTAAAGTACTGCTTGCCGTTGGATAAAATTTTTAGACGTTACTAGTACGCCAAATACATATATTCAGAGTATGCTTTTTGGATATTATCATGACATGTATATCGCGAAAACCATGTAATTTATTTCGTCGGTCTGTATGTCGTCTCGTTTTCTGTCCAAACCTTGACATGCTACCAAAGTCAAGGGCGAAAAAGCTTTGCGAGTACTGAAAATTGAGCTACGAGAGATCTTATGAGCGAAAAACAAGGGTTTTTAAACATCCGCAAACTTTCGTTTCTCCATGTTTCTCGAATGCTATATAATTTTTGGCCATAGAATAGATAGTTTATTATAAAGATCATGTGAAACTAAAAGTGATATGTGCGTTCGAGCAAATATGCCGGAAATATACGTATAAATATAAAATAAATAAATATATTAGCAGTTACAGAAAAGTATATGACATTTGAACAAGTTAAAGCACATATAGGTACAACGCAATAATCTAAAAGTGTTCAATCAGTAGCGGTGAAAATGTATATGTACATACATATGACTTAATCACAAGAAATGTTCGTCAAGCGGATAAACATCATCGCAGTACCTCCATACAAAAATAGTAGAAGTATCTGTTAGTTATACATATAAATACGGTAAACACTCAGCAATGAGGACAAATGGTAAAAAGCTTAAAAAGAAACCTTTGCACATACAAGAAGATACCAAATTATGTATATTTGTACTTCCCAAGCAAATGGGCGAGAAAGTATTGCAAATCGCGAAATGAGAATTAGCATATTGTTCATCGAGAAGACCTCAAAGAAACAAATTCCTTTGATATATCGGGCTCAGAGGTCATCGACTACCGTCTAAGAGTCTTGACGTTGCATGACAAGTAAGTGTATCTGATCAGTATGATTATCCTCCTCTAAACATAAGAAAAATTTTGGAAGGCCATCAGCGTTGCCCAATTTGGTTGAGCATCATTGAAGGAAACCGATTGACATTCTGGTGGAATGTAAGTTTTCTACTTCCAGGTTTTTCCTTGTTCCTGTTAATGGATCGCAAATGCGCCACCTCAAGGCAGTCAACCAGCATGTCGGAAGTGACCATTGATTTCTTGACTCAAAGCGGATTGTATAGTCATTAAGGTATGTTACGACAACAGTTCTGGATGGTGTTCCGCGTTCTGGGAGGACGCTTGGCATTTTCGGGATGATGAGCGGAGGTGACGCGTCTGCTACATCCCAAACAACAGATAACCTAGTACTGGCTTGTCGCTTTAGGGAGTCTAACGTCCTTTGGACCCCAGGCGGTCGTAACCTTTGCTGGTTTTACGCGTCAAAATTGTATCGGCGTGCCTCGGCGTGGTATTGTGATTAATTTGTACTTTCGAAACCTCTACCGTCATAAAACCAATTTCAATTTGGGCGCGTCTCACGATAACATCCAAGCCTTTCGTGAGGAATGAAGCCGATACTAGTCTTCCTTCCTCCAACTCTTGATTGTATATAGAATTTTTCACGGTCTATAAACACTTTGTACCGTACCGTATAATCTGGCAACAGTGTAAAGTGTATCTCGCTGCGTGTCTGTGGATCGAAGTTGGTGGCGCGCGCAAATTGTGACGTAGCCAGGTCGGCCATTGGATCTATGGTGACGTCACTGATGTATAACGATTACAGCAAGCTCGGCGGCGTGGCGGTAGCAGCAGCCAGAGCTTTAGGCCAGGACAAGTGGAAAGGGGTGGGGAGTGGGTAGAGAAGGCAGACAACTGTAGGTTCGTTCTAGAAGGCCATTTAGATTCGATTAGGGATTAGGTAAACATTATAGGCGACCCGATGGAGTGTCGGTTTTTGGTCCCAAATCAAAGGGGTTTGTCGCAAGTGCAGTGATGCGTCCACATGTTTTGTGCCCTCAGTCTCGCTTATGCACTGGTGACGAATAGGCATAACTTTTACTCAGTACTTGGTTCAATAGAACTGATCAATGAGTTAACTTAGCAGCAAGAAACTTAATTGTAGCTCTTATTTTTAGTGCCTTATAAGTATAAAAGTTGAGCAAACCTTTATTTAAATGAAATATATAAAATATTAACGATTCAGTAGGAAATAACTCGATTTTAATCTTAGTCAATAGTTTCCATCCCTACAGAGAATAGATAATTAGCCTTTTCAGTTGATCTGGGTGATCAATAGTTGGTCTGTCAAT